CAGTTTAAGAGCTCTAAACTGAACTGACTGATAAGACGAGAGCTCTAAACTGACACTGAACTGACTGCCAAGCAATCAGTCAGTCAGTCAGTCTCATCAGTTTGGATTGATTGTTAGCAACTCTGCCATCTATAAGCATCAAGTCGTAGCTACTACAAACACTATCCTTGACGCTATCTTGGAGAACATCGATCAATACCTCGGTGGAAACGAGTTCGCCTCTCTGCATCCGAGATGTCGTAACTCGGTCCATCCTCGAGTCGGACACAAGTCTCCTCAATGTATCTCCAACAGACACATGATAGAACGAGTACTCATCAGATAGTCTCCGGCACAGCGTGCCCTTTCCAGAACCAGGGGCACCTGTACAGCTTAGTCGCGTACTTGAGATCTTGCGTACGTACCGATGACGAAGACGACAGTTTTTGCAGTAATTTCCATGGCGGTTTGCAAGGGCGTCAGCTGAGAGTAAGAACGCTGTCCGACGACAGGCACTCGTAACTCTCCATTTATGCCACACAGGAGCGGGGTTATCCCCACGTCATCGCTGGAGAGCATGGGTGTGCAGCGATAAATTCTATGGCAGCAAGCGAACATCTCCAGCATCCAGCTTACTTCCTCCATACCACTTCTTCGTACATACTCCAACAATGAACTCTGTCTCAATCTGCTTTGGACTTCTGCTTTTAGGTGTCACGTGTTTATACCTGTGCCACACCAACCATCGCACAGCACGCCCTGTAGCTGTCAACTATCACTTCACGAGACGCTGCAACAAAACTTGTGGATTTTGTTTTCACACTGCCACCTCCTCTTTCATGCAGAGTCCCGATCGTGCCAAGGCCGGGCTTTCCTTGCTCAAGAAAGCGGGCATGCGGAAGCTGAACTTTGCTGGCGGAGAGCCGTTCCTCTATCCGAAATTTTTGGCCGAGATGGTGGTCTTCTGCAAAGACGAACTACGACTCGAGTCGGTCTCTATCGTTACAAATGGGAGTCTGGTCAAGGAGAGCTTCTTTCGACAATGCGGCTCTAAAGTTGACATCCTGGCGGTCTCGTGCGATTCGTTCGACGAGTCTACCAACATCGAGATCGGCCGTGGATCCGGCGACCAGGTCTCGCAGTTATACAAGGTGGCTTCCTGGTGCGAGAAGTATGGCATCAAGTTCAAGATCAACACTGTGGTATGCCGACTCAACTGGGATGAAGACATGAACAAGCACATTGAACAGCTGCAGCCTTTTCGCTGGAAGTGCTTCCAAGTCTTGGTAGTTGCGGGAGAAAACGACTCTGGGAATTCACTACGAGACGCTCGCAAGTTCATCATTACCGATGAAGAATACCACAGCTTTT